ATTGGGATCGATGGGATTGGGATTGATGGGATTGGGGCTGGACCAGCTGCAGATGAACAACGAGGTCCTGCACCAGCAGGTGGGACTGGGAGCACTGGGAGCACTGGGAATGGGGCTGGGATGGGACTGGGGTCATTGGGATGGGATTGGGATCGATGGGATTGGGATTGATGGGATTGGGGCTGGACCAGCTGCAGATGAACAACGAGGTCCTGCACCAGCAGGTGGGACTGGGAGCACTGGGAGCACTGGGAATGGGGCTGGGATGGGACTGGGGTCATTGGGATGGGATTGGGATCGATGGGATTGGGATTGATGGGATTGGGGCTGGACCAGCTGCAGATGAACAACGAGGTCCTGCACCAGCAGGTGGGACTGGGAGCACTGGGAGCACTGGGAATGGGGCTGGGATGGGACTGGGGTCATTGGGATGGGATTGGGATCGATGGGATTGGGATTGATGGGATTGGGGCTGGACCAGCTGCAGATGAACAACGAGGTCCTGCACCAGCAGGTGGGACTGGGAGCACTGGGAGCACTGGGAATGGGGCTGGGATGGGACTGGGGTCATTGGGATGGGATTGGGATCGATGGGATTGGGATTGATGGGATTGGGGCTGGACCAGCTGCAGATGAACAACGAGGTCCTGCACCAGCAGGTGGGACTGGGAGCACTGGGAGCACTGGGAATGGGGCTGGGATGGGACTGGGGTCATTGGGATGGGATTGGGATCGATGGGATTGGGATTGATGGGATTGGGGCTGGACCAGCTGCAGATGAACAACGAGGTCCTGCACCAGCAGGTGGGACTGGGAGCACTGGGAGCACTGGGAATGGGGCTGGGATGGGACTGGTATGGGACTGGGATGGGACTGGGATCACTGGGATGGGATTGGAGCCTCAGCCAGCTCCACGGACAATGAGGCAGCAGGTGGGGAACTGGGAGTTACTGGGAGCACTGGGGAGGGATTTGGGGTCACTGGGGGGATATTTTGGGATCCCTGGGGGTGTCTGGACCCCCCAAACCCCTCTGGGACCCCCCAAACCCCTCTGGGACCCCCCAAAACCCCCCCTGGGACCCCCCAAACTCCCCCGGGACCCCCCAAACCCCCCCGGGACCCCCCCAAATTCAGGCGGAGGAGCTGAAGAACAAGAACCTGTTGCTGTGGCTTTGGGTTACTGGGAGCACTGGGCTGTACTGGGAGCGTACTGGGGAGGTGTTTTGGGGTCCTGGGGGATACTTTGGGGTGTCTGACCCCCCAAATCCCCCCCGGGACCCCCCCCCAAATTCAGGTGGAGGAGCTGAAGAACAAGAACCTTCTGCTGCGGGCGCAGCTGCGCCAGCACGGGCTGGAGATCGTCATCAAAAACGACACCCACTGACCCCAAAACCCCCCCGGGACCCCAAAAACCCCCCCCCAAATCCACC